AACTAGGAAAAAAAAAACAAAAGAAAGGAGAAAAATTGGCATCTATTAGCTAAGCAATTTCTAGTAATTCAGGCAAATGAATGGATGTCTTCTTTTTGGAATGTCTTTTCTATAAAAGTAATGATGTCTTTAAACCATAACTTTTTTAAGGAAAAGAAGGCTGCCTACTGTTCTAGTTGGCCAAGTCAATTAGCTTCTCTAAGGTTTAATTATCTCCCCTGTAAAATGGGGCTAACAATTCCATAGATTATTACAGAGATGAAATAATTTCATACATTGAGGTTAGTGCTCAGCATAATATGTGACACAGAGTAGAGCAGAAAATATTTAAGAATTTATCTACAAGGTTTTTTTATCTAACTGTAATACTGAGATGATAAGTCCTTACTAATCAATATAGATTGAGGATGGAAGTTTGAAAAATTAAAACTTGGATCTGATAACAACGCAACAGAATGAATAATTTCACAGTGTCTATTTTGATTCTAAAAAGAATGAATCCAGGAAGATAAATGTGAGGCATATTGTAAGCTTGAAATTGGGAAAGGTTATCATTGGTATTGTGTGCTGCTGAGTTGGAAGCGACACAAAGCTGACTGACTGGGAGTTTTAGAGGCAGTAAATTGTCTGGGAGAAGACTGCCTGTTTTTCTCCCATAGAGGAGCTGGAGAATTAGAACTAAGCGGATTTGGGCTGGCAGCAACACCTTAGCACCAAGTTACTAGAATTCCCTTATGGAAAAGATTAGGAAATTCAAAATCAACACTGAAGTTATAAATAATAATATTAAGTCAGGGTTAATTAACCTGAAAACTAGGGCACAGAAAGCAGGCAAACCAGACAACTAACTGACTGACCAACCAGAACCCCACAAAAACCCAAAACTTGCCCGGCAAGTCACTGAAAGCCAAGGCCTAATGTACTAATTAACAAAGCCATGCTACCACTGAAAGTGAAAAGTTATTTAAATTCCTTCTCAGTTGTGGTGCTGGAGAAAAGTCTTGAACATACCATGGACTGCCGAGAAAACAAACAGGTGAGTCTTGTAGAGAGTGAAACCAAGTTTCTCCATGGAGGTTAGGATTTTGAAGCTCTGTCTCACATACTTTGGGCACATAGCCAGGAGATATCAGTCCTGGGAGAAGGACATCATGCTCGCAAGGATGGAGGGACAGTGCAGGAGAGGAAGGCCCCAGATGAAATGGATTGATACAGTGAGTAGAGCAGTGGGGTTTAGTGTGTCTGAATCAGTGAGACCGGCTCAGGACAGGGAAGGGTTCAGAGCTGCTGGTACACAGGGTCGCTGTGAGTGCAGGTGACTCGATGGCACATAACATCAGGAATGAATTTTCACATGGCATATATAGTGTCTATCATACAATTTATGTCTACCTGGAACCTCAGACTGTGACCTTGTTGGGAAATAAGGTCTTTGCAGATATAATCTCTTAATGATGAGGATAAGAACTTGATGCATCGGACTCCCTTCTTGCCTCCAAAAACCAACACGGTTGATTCAACTTCAACTCCTGGCCCTCCATCAGGTTTTCAAAGCTGCAAATCTTACTGGAAGAGACTCTCTCATTTTTCTCCCATGGAGTGAGGAGTGAGTGGTGGGTTCAAATTGCTGATCTTTTGGTTAGTAGCCCAACATTTAGACCACTATCCCATCTCTCTTTTAAGGGATCAGGGTTGGCTCTAAATCCAATGACTGATATCCTTGTAAGAAGAGGACAGAGAAAGATACAGAAAGAAGGCAATTGAAGACAGAGGCAGCGATGGGAGTGATGCAGCTAGAAACCAACTTCTGGCTTCTGAACTAAGAGAGAATAAATCAATTCTTTTCCTTCCCTCCCTTCCTCCCTCCCTTCCTCCCTCCGTTCCTTCCTTCCTTCCTTCCTTCCTTCCTTCCTTCCTTCCTTCCTTCCTTCCTTCCTTCCCTCCTTCTTTCCTTCCTCCCTCCCTTCCTTCTTTTTAGATAACTAAGAATTAACTGCAGTGTTTAATTAAAAGTACAGAGACATAGGCCAGACCCTATGTATTACTTATTTTATTTTTTTAAATTTTTTTTTCCAAGAGTTGTCTCCGAGGTCCCTTAGGGCAACCCATACATGTGACAGGCTGCATACACTACCAAGGAATGCTGTTCACAGCCACTGCACACCGGCAACTACAGAAAAAGAGGACAGTCAGCTTAATCAGCTGCCACAAGAGAATAAGTCAATTTTATTTTAATCACTCAGTTCATGGTACTTTGTTAAGTCAGCTCTAGAAAACCATTACAGAATGCAAATCAATGTATATAATAAAGCAATAAAAGTTAACACTGAGTATTTACTACGAGCCTTGGTGGCAAAGTGGTTCAAATATTCCACTGCCAACCATAAAGCTAGTGGTTTAGCCACCAGCCTCCCAGTGGGTGAGAGGCGTGCCAGTCCGCTTATATAAAAAATGTATAGCCTTGGAAAGCCTACGGAACTGTCCTACTCTGTTGTACGGGGTCATTAGGATAGTCACAATCAACTCAACGCCAATGGGAATGGTGGGGTCAGAGCAAGAGGAGAAAACCTACTTGCCAGCCGAGGATCCTGTACCCTACAAAGCTGTCCATCAAATAGGAAGGAGAAAATAAGTCATGTGCAAAAAAGTAAGAATTTAAGGCATTCATGAAATAGGACCAATTCTACAAGAAACACTAATGAAAGTCCTTCATACAGAGACAGCAAAGGAAAGTGGATAGACCAAAGTAACCAGCAACAATAGAAAAAAGAACACAGCAAAATGCCAATCATACTGTGAATAGAGGAATGTGTGAAATATAGTGTATATGAACTTTGTATGCAAATCTATATAAAAGGAAAAGAATTTAAAAAGTGAAAAGGGAAAAAAAAATCTCCAAAATAAAAATCAATAAAACCCTACTAGAAGTTGAGGCCAGGCAATAGAGAGGCAACCAGTGGCAATAGCTTCTGGTATGCCTGCAGGTACAAACCCCAAGGCAGAGCCAAAATCGGTTGGGAGACACAGAGAGGAGACTGCGGGAGGTACAGAGGGGAGACTGCGGGACATACCGCCAGGGAGCCTGGAAGCCTGCGGCCCTCAGGCCAAGAAGTTCTACAGGACACATCACCTGCCCTTCGTAGACAGTACAACTAAACTTAAGAGACACTGGACACAGCATAAAAATTTTCAGCAGTCAACGTGTTCGGAATCACAGAAGCCAAGGAAGCTTCAGATACAAGCTGTCAGATCATGGGTCGGACAATGGAAGATAAATTTTGAAGGGATTTGGTAGAAGTGAATGGGTATCCTGGTGGAGGGTAGAGTTGGGAAATAAGTGGGTCAAGACACTGGGCTAAGGGCAGGGACACTCCATAATAAGGGATTTATCTTTCACTGCTCCACGTATAGCTTGTCTGTCAGATACTCCTCTAAATTTAAACATTCAGATTGACGGACTAGGAGGAAGAATTGGCCATCCACTTCTGAAATAGCAGGCCTCTGAAAACCCTATGTACAACAGAACATATGTAGACTAACAGAAAGGGCAACCTAGGTAGAACTTTCAAGTATGGAAATACAAAGGAAGAGGAACAGTTGTAAGCAGACACTAGTGATTGGAACATGGAATGTGAGACCCATGAATGTAGGAAAAATAGAAATTGTTAAGAAAGAAATGGAACGCATAAATATTGA